GAGCCGCAGTTTGCTGACCCCTGGCGGCTCTTCCGTCTCAAAAGTTTGCCAACCCCTGGTCTAGACTGTGCCAAGCATTTTGAAAAATTACGTCCTCATCCTCACAACAGTGCTATAGTTGTAGGTATTATTACTTCCTCATTTTACAGATGAGGAAACCCACTCAAAGAGGCAAGTGATTTATCAAAGGTCACCCACTCGTAGGTGACCCAAATATGAAACCCAAATATGGACAATTTAGAGGAAAAGTGCCATCACACTGCGAACTTGCTGAAGGCATAGTGAGGGAGGTGTCTTAATCATTTTTGTATCCCTACCTTCCTAGTACTGTACTTGACACACAGGGGGCACTCAATAAATAATTGCTAAAAGCTGAATGAAGTGTTTGGTCATTAGCGCTTAGGAAAGAACGGGACTAGTTTCAAATTCAACAAACTTAGATTGAGGGCCATTCTGTTCATAATGTGTTACAGTAGGATTGCAAGGGATGAAAACATTAAATTAGACCTGGCCTCAGCTTCCCACGAACTGTCAAGGTCATAAACGTCTTTCTTCAAAGAAAAGAAACTGCAAGCCCTTGTTTGGACGGAAGAAAGGTAAGATTTTTTTTTTTAAACTGTTGCTGATTCCCATTTTTTCCCCCGGATGATAAACAACAGAAAGAGAACAGTCACCCGAGTACTGAAGCTGGGCTCTAAAAATATCCTCTGACGTAGAAACCTTCCTCTTTTTCATTATCCCAAGGGTTTGGGGGAAGAGAGAGAACAAACTCCTTTAACAATCTTTTAATGAGCATCTGCGGTTCTCATTACAGGAAACGGAACATGGGAAACACTAGAACAGTGGGTGGGATAATTAAAATGAATAAATAAATAAACTGGACTGAGAGTTTGGATTATATCCTAGCAACCACAGTATCTCCACAGTACTTAGCACATCTCACACGCTCATTAAATGATGGTTTAATGAAGATGCAGTGTGGCACAATGGTTTGCGGCAGTCGCGGAAAAAACCCACGTGGCCGTATTTACCTTTTGGGATCAGGTGATCCTCCGTGCCCAACCCTGTCAATCCGCCGGCCACACTCCAGGGCTAGAGGGAATTCGAAGTAACAAAATGTGATTGGGTATCTTGTGAGCACGTGGTCCCCTATACCTCTTTTCTATTGGTGAACAGCTCCTGGCCCTACCTCAGCTCCACCCAGACTCAGGCCCCGCCTCTCCTGGGCGTAGGCCCCAGCCAGCGCAGGCGCAGTGGTTGGTAATGTTTGCCTGAGGTGGCGGCCCACGGAGGTGCGCACGTGGTGCGCTCTTTTCCTGAGGGAGAACCCCGTGGGACAGTGTGGGCAGGTGGAGTGTGAAAAGGTGGCGATAGGCCTTTTGAGCTCCTTGTGCTCTTCCCGCTCCAAACTCTTTGGAGTGTACTTTCTCTTCCAATAATGGCCCTCGAGCCACTCTACTGCTCAGGCCCACTTTTCCTTCTTTGAAATGTACTTTTTCTTTTAATAAACTGCTTTTTAACCACTTAAAAAAAAAAAAAAGAAAAGGTGGCGAACACCCACGGGTGTGATGTTTCCGGCCGTGTTCACCCCTCTCCGGGTCTCTCACCCGCTGCGCACACGCTCCTTTTCCCCCAGCTCCCCCTGCCAGTTTCCGGTTGGTAACTCCATAGCTTTTATTCCGGGGACCGGGGAGGGCCAGAGGGGGCCTGGAAAGTGGGGTGTTGGGAATCAAAGTGGGGAAGAGAAGGAAGAAAGGCCAAGGAGAGAGGCGAGTGAATTTTGGGCGGAGCAAAGGGCCTTTGGGTGGTCCCAAGTCCCCTGAATCCCACCCCCCACTTTCAAGAGGAAAAAAAAATGGTGAAGGGATTTGCAGGTCTGACCTTCATGCTTTTGCGTTTGTTGTTCCCTGCGTTTGGGATGCTTCCTGTTTCCCGCCTGGTGAATGCCTACCTGTTCATCTTACAGGCCTAGCTTGGGTCACTTGTGGAAGTTTCTTGAGCCTTGCCTTTCTTCCCTCCCAAAGTACAGTTGCTCAGTTACCCCACCGGGTTTCTGCAGCATTAACGAGAGAGGGAGCTCAGAACTGGACGAACCAGGTTTGATTACTGGCCTGATCACCCTAGGAGACATGTGGGCAAGTTACATGAGCTTCAGGATCCTTTCAAAAGAAATAACGGTACGCAGATCATAAGGTTGGTTGTGGGAATTAGGTGAATCAATGCATTGTAAAATGCATCGTACAGTGCTGCTTCTGTAGTAAATGTTTAATAAAGACTATTTTCCCAAGGGAAAGGAGAAGGAAGGCTATTCACTTTATTTTCTTTAGAAAGGCTTAAAAAGACAAACAGGTACACAAAAAGAAATGTGGCTCTGGGGAAGACTCCTGTGAATCTAGTTAAAAGAGTAAATAGGGCACAAAGGTTGGGCAGATATGGTGGCTTCCTTTCCCACCATCCCACTCTCCTCCTGTACCCTAGTTATAATGGCTGACATTTCATTACTGTGTGCTAGGCATTGCTGTGAGCTTCACATGCATGGTTACCTTGTTTAATCTTCATAACAGTCCAATGAGGTAGCTACTATCCTCATTTATAGAAAAGACTGAAGATAAAACAACTTGCCCAAGTTCACCTAACTAGTAAGTAGCAAGAAATGGATGGAAATCCAAGTCTGTCTGTACCCTGAGAGTTTCAATTCCATGCCATATTCCTGTTCTAATAAATTAAGAGGGGGAAAAAAACCCAGTTTTATTTCTTGGATGAGTTTTAATTTTTTTCTTCATGAAGTAGAATTTGTTTTGTGAGAAAAAGAAGTAAAAATCTGCATCTTAGAGCACCATCTTGAATCTCAAGAAGGATAATATATCTGGAATTAACTATATCTGGTGGCAACCTCTGCTATTCCCAGGAGCAGGGTGACCAACTCTTGATTTTATTTAGCACTGAAAAGTCCTGCATCTCAGGAAACCCCTTAGTACTGGGCAATCTGGGACAGCTGGTCATGGTCACCTGGCCTAGGAGTATTGAATTTCTTTCTTTTTTAATTGAGGAGCAGTGTGTTTTTCCAGGACCCGTCAGCTCCAAGTCAAGTAGTTGTTTCAACCTAGTTGTGGAGGGCGCAGCTCAGTGGCCCATGTGGAGATGAAACCAGCAACCTTGGTGTTACGAGCACTGCGCTCTAACCACCTGAGCTAACCAGCCGCCCCAGTGTTGAATTTCTTATTGGTCCTTCCTTTGATCCTCTTAGGAAAAGTTCAGCATTCACTGAAGACTGACCTTTATGCACGCCCAAGCATCTCTTGCGGGGTTAATTCTTATTGAGCTAATGTGTTGTAAAATGCTTCACAAGCTGCTTTGGGTATTGTGTGCTCACTAAATGCTATTATTTAAGGGAGAGGTGAGAGAAGGATATTCAATTTATGACAGCAGAAGAAAGAAAATAGGAGTTAGTGGGAAGGAGGTTTCAAGTCTTATGTACCCGTTAGCCTTTGTAACGCCTACTTACTGAAACTGTGATAGCAGAGCAGAATTGTGGAAGCACCTGAGGAAGAGGATGACCAAAAGTTACGCCCAAAACTCAGCTTACGCCATTAGACCCATGTAAGCAGGGTAGTGACAATCCGGTAACGCCTGCTTGTAGATGTTATTCAAACCGAGGGCACTCAGTGGGTTAGGAACTGCCATGCTGGTGGAAAGCTAAAGGTGTAAAGTAAGGAGACATGAGAAACAGCTTCAGGAAATACCACGTTCCTCCTGAAACAAATTTTTTTGGAAAGAATTCTATCTCAGGTGGAAATATGAACAAAAGGAACATTCCTAAGGCCCTCAAGACTTGGTTTCGTGAATTGTGCCAGCATTAGGTGATGAAACAGCCTGCCTTCTCTCCCTGGCAACCTAATCTCTCTACTGCCCACCACATTAACCATTCCTGGTCTCCTTGGCCAGGTGTACTGCTAGCTTCTGCTGCTACTTCAGGCTGACTTCTTTCTAACCATAATCTTCAGACATATGAGAAGCATTGTTGTGTAAAAAGAAAAGAACTGGGAGGAAAATCTACTTGGATTCCAGACCTGGCTCTGAAACTATGGACTGTGGCCTTAGGTAAATCTGGATCTTAGTTTCCTCAAAAATGAAGGTGGGATGGGCTAAATTTTCTCTCATCCTGTCATTCCATGCATGGCTCGGTGACATTTGCTGGTAGAGAATAAGCGGGGGAGAAATAGCACATCCCCCGTGAGCCACTTGAGGGAAAGAGGTTTTATCTTTGGAACCTTAGTACCTTCATCTATAGTGTTGTCAGTAACCATTTGTGAGATTTGTGGATGAGAATGGCTCGAGATTCAAAAGACCCAGATTTGAATACAATTATTGTTACCGACTCTGGATGACTGAGTAAATCCAGCTCGGCCCAAAGCACCTTAGGATCTCCGTCTGCAAAACAATTGGCATGAGATTTCCAACAACCTTATGAGCAAGGTTTTTGGCTGTGAGCAAACCTACAGTTGTAGAGGTGAAAAAGAAGTCTTTGTGTTTTCAAGATCGTGGGTTATCCCAGTTAACTGAAATGTGCTTCCTAGGCAGCTGCAGGATGAACATTTATTGCTTGCCCTACTTGTAGACAAAAGACTACCCCGGAATAGGCTGTGATTCTTTCATCCGCTTCACCTTTTGATGAGATTGTACAGAAAGCTTTAGCCTGGTACAGTGATTCTTCCTGGCTAACACAGTAATCAAACAAGTCTTGCTGCTTCTCTCAGCAGAAACAAATCAATTTAAGATCCCACTTGGGAATTCACTGTTTCCTCTCTACAGACCAGGTTCAAGGCAGGTGTCTCATTCTGGCAGAAACCCTTAGAGAACCATGTCATAAAGCCCCATTTGCTTTTAGCTGATTAAAAAATAGAAACATACTGCCCACATACATGGTGAGCTATTTAAAAAATGATTCCCTTAATTTCTTGGTTAATAAATTCATTCATAGCATTGTTCATCTTTTCAAAAAAATATATTACACCAGTTCAGTGAAAGACATTTAACTATTTGGAATTATAAATGAAGTCACTTCCTTCTCCCCTTACCTCCCACATTAGTGAGATCCCTAGGTTAGCACTCTAGAGACCATTCCAGCCTCCATATTTCCTGGGCTATTTCTTCTGCCGGTGAGATAAAAAGGAAGTGAAAGCACTTTTCCTATCAGGAGAAGCTGCTGCTTTGAAACAAGTCTTTCTTCAAGGACAAATCTCATCAGCCTGAAGATCTTAACTCCTTGGCTTTGAAACCTGCCGTTCACAGATGGGCTGGCAAAGAAACGTTGGTTTGCTGCCCTCTACAGGCTGCACTCCGTGAGCTTCCATAGAGGAAGAAGGGATGGAATCCTTAGGGATCTGAAAAGAAATGAAACGAGTTAATGCCAAAATAAGCAGAGAGTTGGGTGGGGAGGAAAAATTGGGAACATCAACCTACCATTCAAACAAATATAGCATTTAGGACATGTAAATATGGCCACTATATATTGTTGAGTGAAATAGGATGTAATGAAATAGTATGGCTCAATTTTTGTAAAAACAGATTTAGTTATACCAGAACATTACACTTTGGTTATCTCAGTGGTGGGATTTTGGTTAATTTGTATTATATTCTTTTTACTTATCTGTATCATTTAAACGTTCTACAATAAATATGTATTATTCTAGTAATAAGAAACTAGTTAAAAAGTAGTTGTGCCAAGGGGACTTCTTTTTTTTCTTCTTCTAATTTTATTGGGAACAGTGTGTTTTTCCAGGACCCATCAGCTCCAAGTCAAGTAGTTGTTTCAATCTAGTTGTGGAGGGCACAACTCAGTGGCCCATGTGGGGATCGAATCGGCAACCTTGGTATTATGAGCCTGCGCTCTAGCCAACTGAGCTAACCAGCCGCCCCCCCCCAAGGGGACTTCTTGCATGCTGAATGTTCTGTTCCTTGATCTAGATGCTGTAGGTCTTCATAGAGCTGCTCACTTTTTTTTTTAGCTGAGCCATCCTGCCACCTATTGGCAGCTCAGCGGCAGCTCAGCTCGGGCCGGGAATCAAACCGGCGACCCTGTTGCTCAGCGCTCGCACTCTGAGCGAGCTCTTAATCAACTGAGCCAGTCGGCCGGCCCTAAGAGCTGCCCACTTATGATACATGCACTTCTCTGTACATATAGTTCAATTAAAAAGTGGTTGTTACAGGAACTCTTATTGCTGGTGGGAATGCAAATTGCACAGCCATTTTGGAAGACAGTTTGGCAGTTTCTAACAAAATGAAACATTTATCACACGATCCAGCAATCTCACTCCTTGGTATTTATCCAAATGAGTTGAAAACTTATGTCCACACAAAAACTTGCACAAAAGATGTTTATAACAGCTTTATTTAAAATTGCCAAAAACTTGGAAGCAACCAAGATGTCCTTCAGTAGGTGAATGATAAATACTGTGTGCGTGTACAGGGGCAAAGAAGCATATGAGGACTCTCCATTTTTCTGCTCAATTCTGTGAACCTAAAACTGCTCTAAAAAATAAAGTCTATTTAAAAAAGTGGTTGTACTTTTCTAGGAATATACTAAAAACAAATTGTACATGTTACATGAAGAAATTGTATGGTATGTGAATTAAATCTGAGTAAAGCCTATTTATATTTCTAAGTGGTTGTACTCACAAATTAAAATAAAGTACTGACACATGCTACAATATGGATGAACCTTGAAAACATTATGCTAGGCAGAGAAGCCAGGCACAAAAGGCTACCTACTATATGAAATATCTAGAATAGGTAGAAACAGAAAGATTAGTTGTTGCCAGGAACTTGGGGGTGGGGGTGGCGGATGGGGAATGACTGCTGATGGATACAGGTTTCCTCTTGATGTGATGAAAATGTTCTGGAATTAGATAGTGGTAACCAGGTTATGTACAACTTTGTGAATGTACTAAAAACAAGTTACCTATATACTTTGGAAGGGTGAACTTTATGGTGTATGAATTATACCTCAATAAAGCTGTTATTTTTAAGAAACGGAAACAAGTTATGGCAGAGATTTTAGAACATTGTTTTAAATTGCCATGTGCCTGGAATTTGAAAATCATACTCTTTCAAACAATATAGCTTAATGGACATTAGAACACTAAGAATGGCCATACATTAAGAAGCCACCTTCTGGGCCGGCCAAGTGGCTCAGTTGGTTAAGAGCTCGCTCAAGAGTGCAAGCTCTTTGCCGGCGACAAAGTGTAGGCTGCAGCCCCTGCTGCAGTGGGTTGCCATGGGCTACCATGTGTAGCCAGCAGCCAGCATGAGCAGCCCTCAAGCCGCCGTGAACGGCCGTCCAGAAGCTGGAGACTGATCTGCCTCACCCAGGAAGAGCGCAATGACGGTGCCAACTTGGGCCAGTGAAGCAACGTCCTCCACAACTAGACTGAAGAACAAAAGGACAGCAACTTGTCTGTTCCCCTTCCCCCAATTCCCCAGTAAAAATCTTTAAAAAAAAAAAAAGAGTGCAAGCTCTGAGCAACAGTGGTTTGATGCCCGGCCCGAGCTGAGCTGCCAACAGGTGGCAGGATGGCTCAGCTAAAAAAAAACACACAAAAAAACCACCTTCTAGATTTTGTCAGTGTTCTCAGTTGAATGGGCACTGGCATCTGATATCTGAAGGCATTTACCTTCAGCAGCAGGATACAAGTGACAGTCCCAGCTCCCGGCTCTGGAACACCAGACCGTGGTCAGCGTGGGTCTATTAAAGGCAGCAGCTCCCCACAACGCGAGTCCAGTTTCAGGCACGCCAAGTCATCCGACCGTGTGGGCCCAATATTCAGTATGGCAATTGGTAGCTTCTTCTCCCGTGCAGTGAGGATAAACCTGTAACCAGAGTACACCTGTACAAGGAGGAGACACAGGTAAGAGACCTCCAGATGCAGGAGGACATAAACCAAGTAGGAAGCATCTCCGGGGCAGTTACCAGCCTGAGCAAGTCAGTACCTGCAAGGACGACCCCACCACCAACAGAGAGTCGGCTTCTTTGACGCGCCTGTGCACAAAGTCGACCTTGTCAGGGTTCACGGTGCCCCCGAAGAAAACGACATCTGGTTTCAGAGGGCCTCCGCATCGAGCGCAGGATGGGACCTGAAAGCTCTGTACCTGCTCCTCCGTGAGAAAGACATCACCATCAGGAGCCAGGCCCTGGGCCTCAGCACTCCAGGTGGGGTTCAGGGCTTCAAAGCGCTCCTGCAGCACCCGGCGGGCGGTCTGCTCACCGCAATGCAAGCAGAGGACCCTGAAACCAAAGAGGGGACCCGCTGAATGGTCTGTCCTGGGGAGGCACAAAGTGGCCAGAAATGTTTAAACACCCAACCATTTTTCAGCCCCTCCATCATCGCTTCCTTGTCCTAACACCCCCAGTTTTTCCCCCATTTTAGGAACACCTTCTCATGACCTCTTTAGCTACTGCTGTTTCTCAGCTTCCTTCCACTGCCAACCTTCTGAAATGAGTTCTCTCTCTCTCTCTCCACACACACACACACACACACACACACACACACACACACACACACACACACACACACACAACGTTTCCTTACTACACGCTCCCTGCTTAACCTGCGGTCAGCTCATTTTTATCCTTAACACGACTGCAAATTCTTTACCAAATGATTTCCTTAGTGCCCAAACCAGTTTTCCCCTCCATTCTCTGCTGTCCTCATTGGCTGTAATTGTCACTAACCATCACCATCCTCTCTTTAAAACACTCCCCTTGATCATTTGTGACACGGTACTTTCTGGTTCTCTTGTCACCTATCTAATCAAGAGAACATGAGCTCCATGAATGCAAGAACTTTGAGTCTTGTCCTCTGGAGACACCACTGCTCTTGACCACCACTCTATGCCCACCATCTACAACGGTGCCCACTACGTAGCTATTGAAAGAGAGAACAAAAGATTGTTCAGTTGGTTCCCCCTCTGCTCCTCAATCCTCCAGCTTGTTTTCTTTCTATGTTCATAACCTTGGGGACACTCCATTTTCACTGCCTCAATGCCTCTGTGCTAATGGTTTCCTCCTCTGCATAAGACTCCACTCCTGCTCTTGCTCCCAAGCTCAAGTCCAATTCCAAGTCTTGACTGTCTGTTCAAGTTTACCCTCTGTCTTCAACCACTCCTCCCCCACTTCTCCATCACCATCACCATCATTTCTCCAGTTACTTGGGCTGAAACGTTTGGAAAAACTCGTTACTCCTTTTTATCTGGTCAACCATCAAATTACGTTGCTTTTTTTGTTATTTTTACTTAAAAGCCCCCCTCTGAAATGACAAGAAGTCTTGGATTTGTTATAAAATATTTAATAGAGGTAAGTAAAGAAGGGATAAAGTTGACATAAAATTTTTGAATCTGGGTGATGGTATAGGGGAATTCATTACACTATTCTCTTTACTATTGTGGGTGTTTGAAATTTTCATCATCATAAAAAAAACCCAAAACGTTTTAAATAGACCCATAGACATCATTAATAGTCTCATTTACTCTCGCTCCCCTGATGTCACCTTAGTCTGGGTCTTTTGGGCTGACCCTGAGCTCTTTCTAATCCTGTCTAGCCTTCCTCAAATGCTATTTTTATCATGTTGTTTTCTTGCTCAGAAACCACTAATAGACCCCTTTGGTCTCTCACAACAGACCCAAATTGCCCTGCGTGATTTTCAGATGCATCCATGAGTTGGGTCTAGCTTTTCCAGACATCCGACTTCATACTAGTCTGGAGGCCAGACCCGACTACTCTGGGCTCTACAAATTCCTTTCATTCAGAAAGCCCTCTTTCCCCTCCTTTGCCTAGGCAAGCCTGAGCCAGTCTCAACCCCCACCTTACCCATAAAAGCTTTCCTCATTTCTCCAATCTTTACTAAATCTCTGTTTCTCTAAACTTGTAAAGCACGTCTATCAAGGAGCACACGTTAACAATTGTGTGGAGTTGTCGTTAAACATGTTATTTTTGGGTCTCCCCAAACAAATGACAAAGTTCTCACGGATAAAGTAGACCATGTTTTATATTTTGGTTTTGATCCCTCCACACCACCAAGTAGCACACCAGTACACACCACGTGTTGCTGACACCCAATAAATATTTTACGATTGGCAGGAGGATCTCTGGGGCTTACAAGATAAGGAAATAGTCTCGAATTAGCTACAAGTTATTGGCAGGGCCACATGCATTCATTCCATCAATATCTGCTGGATTCTGACTATACGCCAGGCTATCCTGTGTTCTGCGTGTCTAGGCACCAGATGCAGCAGTTTGTAGCAAAGGCTGTTAGTGCTCTGCTCGTCGTCCCCTCAGGACACCTAGAGTCCACTGCACACAGTTCTCTTTGAAACAACTTCCTGTGGCCAAGGAAGCCTTCTCTGGAGGAGCAGGGTCAGCGTCAGGGAGTCAATTCCCCAAGAGTGACCTTTGACCACTGAGGGGTGGGAGATGGTAGATAAACACCCCAGCTTCCTTCACTTTCAGTGAGACAATTCTGAATCATCCTCTAGACCAGGGGTCTGCAAACTGCGGCTCGCGAGCCACATGCGGCTCTCTGGGTACGTTCCATCTCAAAAGTTTGCCGACCCCTGGAAGAGCCCATCCTGTCCCTCAGAACAATTTAAAAATTATTCGAGAGCCATAAATATATTTTTACAGAATCACCATTATGTGAATAATATCCTATAAAAATTTTATAAATGAAACTATGATAGTTTTATTTTCATTTTAAATTTTATACTTCAGAGCCACATGTATGTACCCAAAGAGCCGCATGTGGCTCGCGAGCCGCAGTTTGCAGACTCCTGGCGGCTCTTCTGTCTCAAAAGTTTGCCGACCCCTGGGCTAGACATTCAGAGGGCCCCTCCCTGGATGGAGCTCCAGCTGCCCACAGTAGTAACCTTTCTTGGCTTTCCTCCCTTCTCTATTTCACTTCCCCACTCCCTAAGTTTGCTGGGATCAACTCCAAAATAAATAACTTGCTCCCAAATCCCTTTCTCAAGGTCTAACGAAGACAACAGTGACCAAGACGGCCAAGGTCCCAGCTCTTATGGAGCACATATTTCTGTGTTCAAACCGTTTAGACCTTCCTGCACCTGTGCATGGATCCGTGGAGCTCTGTCAGGCGCCGACTACCCGCCTTGGTGTGCAAGGCATCCACATTTTGGGTCACCAGCCAGTGCAGCTTTCCGAGTCTCTCCCAGTTGCTCAAAGCCCAGTGTGCAGCGTTAGGCTGATGGGAGGAGAACTGAGGCCAGCCCACAAAGTTTCTCGCCCAGTACCGCTGGCGGATTGGAGCACTCCGTACAAAGTCCCCATGCTGGATGGGCCTCCGGTCAGTGCGGGCATAAAGTCCCACCTTTTCTGACCTGTAGTCTGGGATCCCCGACTCGGTGGAGATTCCTGCCCCCGTCATCACTAGGAGTCTCTTGGAAAGGGTGATGAAGCGCTGTAATTCTTTGACCTTCTCAGGGTCCACAGGAGGACTGGGTGGCACAAATAACCCAATGGATGCATGTGAGCACTGCCGGCTGAGGTTCACCATCCAAAGGCCTTTCGCTGCCCTGAAAGTCAACCCACAGCTCATCCTCATTCTAGAGAGAAAGAAACTTCATGTGAGAAACCAACTGATTGATTGACTGATTGACTGAGGTATAATGGACATATAACTTATTAGTTTCAGGTGTACAACATAATGATTCCATGTTTGTACATAATGTGAAATGATCACCACAATAAGTCTAGTTACATCTGTCAGCACAGCTACAAAAATTTTTTTTTCTTGTGATAAGGACTTTTAAGTTTTCCTCTCTTAGCAACTTTCAAATATGCAATACAGTATTATGAATTCTAGTCACCAGGCTGTACATTATATCCCCATGACTTACTTATTTCGTAACTGGAATTTTATACCTTTTGAGCATCTTCACCCATTTCCCCCACCTCCCAAACCCCACCTCTGGCAACCACCAATCTGTTCTTTTATCTGTGAGCTTGGGGTTTGTTTTGTTTTGTTTTTTTAGAAACTGGTTTTTAAAAACAAAGGTGAACGTCAACTGATAAATGGATAAACAAAATGTGGTCTATCCACACAATGGAATGTTTTTCAGCTACAAGAATGAATGAAATTCTGATATATGCTACAATATAGATAAACACTGAAAACATTATGTTTGGGGCAGCCTGTTAGCTCAGTTGGTTAGAAAGCAGTGCTCATAATACCAAGGTTGCCGGTTCAAACCCCACATGGGCCACTTAGATGCGCCCTCCACAACTAGATTGAAACAACTACTTGACTTGGAGCTGATGGCTTCTGGAAAAACACACTTAAAACAAACATAAAAAAAAACCCATTATGATACGTGTAAGAAGCCAGTAACAAAAGGGCAAATATAAGATTCCACTTATATGAAATGCCCAGAATTGACAAAGCTATAGTGACAGAGAGTAGATTAGTAGTTTCCAGGAACTGGAGAAAGGGAGAATATATCAGGACTTTGTTCCTTTTTATAGCTGAAAAACAAACATAGGATCTAGGCATTGGGCATCAACAGCTGCTAATATTATAAAAATAAAGGATCAGAATTAGGAGACTTTTGATGGAAGAGCACATCGCACCACTCAAGATGTCTTGGCAAAAAAATTGAACTTGACTCTGATCAAGTCTCTAAAGCTAATTAACAATCATAGGAAATACAGAGCCCAAAGCAATGTGTTACGATACCATTTGTCAATCAGCAAAATCCAGACTATGGGAAACTCTACAGGACAGACAAATCAGTATCTCCAGCCAATAAATTGCAAGAGATAGAGATACAGAGATATGAAGGGGAATTTATAGATGAAAAGAGATTTAAAGACCAATCAATTGTAATATCTAGGCCTTATTTGGATCCTGATGCAAACAAACTTTTAAAATGACATGTATAAGACAATTGGAAAATTAAACATTAACTGGATGTTTGATATTAAGAAACTACTAATTTTTAAATGTATGACGAATAGTACTGTGAACTTTAAAAAAGTCCTCATCCTACAGTTACCTACTGAAATATTTGGATGAAATGATATATCTTGAAGGATTTGCTTCACAATCATACGAGGGTGGTAGAGTAGATAGGAGTATATAAATGGAACGAGTTTAACCAAGAGTTGTTAATTATTGAAGCTGGGTGATGGGTCCATAGATGGGGGTTCATTATATTATCCTATCTCCACAATAAAAAAATTTTTTAAAAATAATTCCTTAGACGAATGTGTGGACTGTAGATGTCCCAGTATGCCCAGGACGGTGGTAGTGCAGAAATGCCAAAAGCCATGAGATGAAGGAAGATGATTCTATCTTTTGAATATTTTGAAAGCTTAACAGATATCAGAAAAGCGAGAAGAAAAAAAAGAAATAGAGAAGTTTGAAGAGAAGCTAAAATGTGGAATGCTTTACCTTAAAAGAAGACTAAACTCCAATATCTGGACCATATCAGCAGTCAGATACTGTTTGGAGAAAACGTATGTGAATTTAAATGGACAAAGTTAATAAGGGCAGGTAACTTAAAAGTATACCTCCCTCAGACCAGCCAAGTGGCTCATTGGTTAAGAATTGGCTTGGGAGCACGAGCTCTGAGCAGCAGGGTCACCAGTTTGGATCCCATATGGGCCAGTGATGCTGCGCCCTCTACAGCTAAGATGGTGAACAACAGCTCGACCTGGAGCTGGGCTGCCCTGAGTTGCCGGCGATAGCATAGGATGCACTGGGGCTGCAGTGGGCTGCCATAAAGCTACCATGAGTGGCCGGCAGCCAGCATGAGCAGCCGGCAGCCAGCATGAGCAGCCGGCAGCCATAGTGAGCTGCTGTGAGTCACTGTGAACAGCCGTCCAATGGCTGGTGACCTATCTGCCTCAGCCGGGAAGAGTGCAATGATCACAATACCAACATGGGCCAGTGAAGCGACATCCTCCACAACTAGACTGAAGAATAAAAGGACAACAACTTGTCTGTTCCCCTTCCCCGATTCCCCAATGCTGTTCCCCTCCCCCAATTCCCCAATAAAATCTTTAAAAAAAAAACACAAAAAAACCAAACAAGGGACTCTAAAAAACTTTATTTAAAACAGGGAAGGTGAGGGCCGGCCGAGTGGCGCGATGGTTAAGAACT